AATATTTAAAGAAGATCGTGGCTGGCAGAATAATGGTTCCCTCAAGATGTCCATGCCCCACTCACCAGAATCTGTGAACAGGTTACCTTACGTGGCAATGGGACTTTGCAGCTATAATTAAGGATGGCGCTTAAGTTAGGGATACCACCCTGCATTATCAAGGTGGATAATGTAATCACAGGTCCTTAAATGATGGTAGAATGAGGCAGGAGAGTGAGAGGGGGAGCTAAGAAGATGGAAGCACAGCTCAGGATCAGAGAGAGATTTGCAGACGCTGTGCTGCTGGCTTTGAGATGTAAGAAGGAGCCGGGAACCAAGGAATGTAGATGGCCTCTGGAAGCTGGAAGAGACAAGGGAAGGGATTCTCTTCTGGAGCCTCCAGAAAAAATGCAGCCCTGAAACACCCTGGTTTTTGCCCAGTGAGACTCATTTTGGACTTCTCAAAGCAGAACTGTAAGATGATAAATATGTGCTATTTTAAGGCCCAAAACTTGTGGCGATTTGTTAGAGCAGCAAAAAGAAATTAATTCATAGACAAATAAAAGCGTCTGCAACTTGTGTACAGAAATCCAATATCCCAGGTACAAAATGGGAGAAAACGGGTTCAGCAGCTGAGCTTCAGAACAGAGCGTGATGACCATGTGTGGTGATGTGGTGGTGATCACAATGGCAGATTTAGTGTTGAGATTTTCATGAGAAGCGACTGGAATAGAAGCAGAAGTGGCCCACATTTGCCAAAGTCATTGGGTCACAGAAATAGTGGGTTCAGTTCGGGACAAAATAATTCTAGCGGGGCATTACACACCCACACATCTAAGAGCTGTGAGAGAGCAGTAGCACGCCTATCTTGCTGGCGGAGAACAAATTGGTACTGCCTCATTGGATGGCAATTTGGCAACATGCATCAAAATTTTAAACACACATATCCCTCAACCTAGCAACAGCATTGCTCCGAATTTGTCACAGAGATAAGCTATACAAAGAAGTACATACGATGCAGGAGATTTATAACTGCCTGTCTGTAGGAGCAAAAGACTGGAAACTACCTAATGCCCATCAACATGGGACTGGTTTAATAAACAATGGTACACTGTGGAGCTTTTAAAATAAGCGGGTGGAGCCTTATACACCGATGATCTCCAAATTTTATTATTTGTGTTTTTGAAAAGCAAGCTACGGAATAGTGTGTTTACTCTTTTTGTCCAAAAAACATCTGTAGACTTTGCAAATGCATAGAGTTCCTTTGAAAAGATACACAAGAGAGTAGGAACACAGTTGACTCAGGAGGGAGAATGAGGGATTGGGGGCGTGGCAGACGAGATGTCATCTGCCCTTCCCCTTACAGTCTTCTGCATTTTCTTTTTCCATGAATTTACATAGTAAAAAAAAGAAAGAAAGATACAAAGGTTTGTTTTGTTTTGTTTAAGGAAGGAAACAAAGGTCCTTGAATCCAGCTCCTGCGTGGGCTGTGACAGGAACTGGAATGCTTACCCTAGGCAGAGGACAGAACCAATGGAGAAGATTTGCACTTGAAATAGACAAAACTCTTCTGACCATCAGAGCCACCTAAAGAAGAGCCAGGCTGTCCCAGTGAGGAGTGCATGGCCCCTGGCTGCTGGGGCTATGGAGGCAGAGAGCAGATGAACTTTTCTCATGGGGGTCACAGCAGAGTATCAGGTTCTGGAGGATTTTGTTCAGTGCAGAGTCCTCCCTGGACAGCAGCTGGAATCATGTGGGGAACTTGTCAATCCCACTGGTGCCAGGACCACCCCAGACCAACTGAACCATAATAAGGAATATGAGCTCTACTCTGGCCACATCTCACATCTTACTCCAAACGGAGCTCAGAACCTTCCAGCGGTTTCTCATCACACTTAGAACACAACGAGGCCGAGGCGGGTGGATCACGAGGTCAAGAGATCGAGACCATCTTGGTCAACATGGTGAAACCCCATCTCTACTAACAATACAAAAAATTAGCTGGGCATGGTGGCGCGTGCCTGTAATCCCAGCTACTCAGGAGGCTGAGGCAGGAGAATTGCTTGAACCCAGGAGGCGGAGGTTGTGGTGAGCCGAGATCGCACCATTGCACTCCAGCCTGGGTAACAAGAGCGAAACTCTGTCTCAAAAAAAAAAAAAAAAAAGAACAAAGATGAGATCCTTACTAAGGCCTCGAGTCCTCTTGTGGTCCATTCTCTGCCAGCCTCTTTAGCCACATCTTGTCCCACTCACTCACTCACAAGGATGTGTTTTGCTATCGCCTGAATGTTCATGTCACTCCAAAATTCCTAAGTTGAAATTTTCACCTCCAAGAGGACGGTAGTAGGAGGCAGGGCCTTTGGGAGGTGCTTAGATCCTGAGGGTAGACTCTTCATGAATGAGATTAATGCCCTGAAAAAAGAGACCCAGAGAGCTCCCCTGTCCCCTTCTGCCATGTGAAGACACACCAAAATGGCCATTTATAAATCGGGCATTAGGACCTCACCAGACACCAAATCTACCAGTTCCTTGATCTTAGACTTCCCTTAATCTTGGACTCCAGGACTGTAAGAAATACATTTCTGTTGTTTTTAAGACATCCAGTTTTTGATATTTCATTTTAGCAGCTGAAATAGATTAAGTCAGAGTCCAACTGCTTAGTGCCACTGACTTATCACTAACTAACTAATGTGTAAGCACCACTAACACATTCACTGTGCCTCTTGACTATTCTTGGTTATTATTTTTTTACTTTGATTAAAAACTCAGGTGTGCTTGTTACTTACTTCAGGTGTTGGCTAGGACCAGGGTCAGCCAATTATCCCATTAGAGAAACCACATACTTGGAATGATTGTGCTTCAGAGTGATCCAATCCCATTCACCTGAGCGAAGTAAAAGTCTTTATATTTCTCTTAAGATCAGGCATAAGAAATGACTGAGTCATTATTAAGGAGAGTAGCTTGGGTGGCTAGCGGATGGAAATTCTACCCACCGAGATCAAGAACAGTGGGGATGGGAATGATGGGTCCATCTGGGGACACCTTGAGTGTGAAGTGGGTGAGTCCAGGGGATAGCTGGTTGATGGTTTTAAAGGATGAGAGGGAGTTGTAGGATGGAGAGAAAGATTTGGGAATCATACAGATTTGGGAGGTGGATGAAACCATCCAAGTGAAGAAATTGCCCAGCAACTGTGTGTTCAGTGAGAGAGACTCAGAGAACCTTTGATGAGGCAGGTGGAGAGAAAGATGAGGCAGGTGGAGACGGAGAAGATGCAGAGAGATGTGCAGTGAGAACTAGAAGGAGCAGGGCCACAGGAACCCAGGATGGAGAAGCTCCAAGACAGTGAAAATGAGGCAGAAAGCATCAGTCAGGTCAGGTCACCTCAATGATGTTGGACAGAGGAATGAAGATGGTGGGGACTATGGGACTGTGTCAGGTGTGGTTTGAGCAGCAGGGTGGCAGTGAAAGCACAGAAGGACCTCATCTCCCATTGGATGGATAAAAACTGACCTCTCCTCTCTACACACTAAATAAAGTGAAAAAGAAAAAGAAAGACCATGCTCCTATTTTTCCAGCCCCTCAGTGGCCCGGAGGCCTCTTCTTCCAACCTCATAGATCGTATGTGTATGTCTGTGAGCCTGTGAGTGTGTTATGTTTAAATCACTTTGCTTTCAGGTTCTTGCCTTAAAACTATTTAAAACAGGGGGAAAAAAAGTAATGCATCCTGTATCAGTCAGGGTTTTCCAGAGAAATAGAACCAATATATATTAAGAAATGTATTTTAAGGAATTGGCTCATGTGATTGTGGGGGTGGCAAGTGTGAGACTTAGGCTGGAAACCCAGGCAGGAGTTAAGGCAGTTGTCTTGAAATGGAATTTCTTCTCCAAGAAACCTCAGTTTTTGCTGGTAAGGCCTTCAACTGATTGGGTGAGGCTTTGCCCCATTATTGAGGATAACAGTCTTTCTGATTTACAGTCAACTGAGAATAACCACATCTACAAACACCTTCACAGCATCTTTGTGCTTACCTCTGTGCAGCCGTTCTTCTTTTCCTGGCTTTTAAAATGAGTAGGTCCCCAGTGAGCAGCACCCACAAGGGGTGTGGTTGTGGGTCTACCTGGGACGTGGATCCGCATTTCTCAATCTGACCTACCAGAAAGACTCAGCGGCTTGTGGGAAAATGATTAACCGTGGGCAATTAAGGGCCCCCCTGGCTGATTGCGACCATTGCTAAGCAAACATAATTTACCCACTTTTTCCTGTTAGGTACTCTCATTTCGGTATTACAAGAAAAGAGTAGCACCTCTGATCCTGTTGCAGTAAAGTTTCAGATTAGGATTGGGCGTGGTGGCTCACATCTATAATCCCAACACTTTGGAAGGCTGAGACAGGCTGATTGCTTGAGCCCAGGAGTTCAAGACCAGCCTGGACAACATGGTGATATCCTGTCTCTACAAAAACTACAAAAATTAGCTTCGTGTGGTAGCGTGCACCTGTAGTCCCAGTTACTCAACAGGCTGAGGCAGGAGGATAGCTTGAGCTTGGGAGGTCGAGGTTGCAGTGAGCTGTGTTTGCACCACTGCATTCTGACCTGGGTGACAAAGTGAGATCCTGTCTTAAAAAAAAAAAAAGGTGGATTACTGAGATAAGATGTGGATCCATTAGACCAGGGATTCCTATGTGGGGATCCAAAGACATTTTAGGATTTATGAATTTGGATGGTGAAAAAACCCTTCTTTGTTTTCGCTAACTTGAAATGTAGCTATTCCTTCAATCACGAATGTAGGCAACACTCAACAGTAGTATTAGCAGTGCCTATGACTTTGTCACTAATAATAATCATGGATATTTTCATATATTACAGTTGCAGAATTCTAAAAATAGCATTTCTGCTCATCACTACTTCAAAATTACAATATGAGTTGGCTGTCAGATCTTGTATTTAATGCATTAATAATGAAGCACACATTACTATATCACACATTTGTTTATTAAAATATTCTTATAATTGCACTTCAAGGGAATGGATTTCCTTTCTAAACCTATGTACGTTGTTTTGTGCATTGTAAAATATGATTCCTAGGAATCCACAACAGAGAAGAGACTTCAAACCTCGGCACTGGATCAATGGTTTTCAAACTGCAAGAATCATCCTAGCAGTCATGGGTCATAAAATCAACTTAGCAGGTTGTGATGACCCCTTTTCTTTAGGAAAAAAAAAGAACAAAATAGAAAATATCAGAGTACATTATGTGTACTACAGATACATCAAACTTTTATTATTGTGTGGTGAGTGTGTGCTATTTGAAAGGTTTAAAAATCGTGAGGCTGGACAGCAACGGTCATAAAAACAGGAATCCTGTCTCTAGCTTGCTCATCATTGCCTATCCCTGCAGTACTTAGAGCAGCGCTTGATGGTAATACGTGTATCTGACTTCTCCAGAAAGATAAAACCAATAGAAAATATAGATGTAGATATATGAGAGGCGACCTATTAGGAGAATTGGCTCACATGGGTATGAAGAGTTCCCACAATAGATCATCGGGCAAACTGGAGACCCAGGGATGCCACGAGTGTGGCTCAGTTCAAGTCCGAAGGCCTTGGAACCAGGAAAACTGATGGTGTCACTCTCAGTTCATGGACAAAAGCCTGAGAACCCAGGGAGGGCTGCTGTAAGTCCTGGAGCCCAAAGGCTGAAGAGCCTAGAGTTCTGAGGTCCAAGGTCAGGAGAAGAAGCATTTCCCAGCCCCAGGAGAGAGAAAAAGAATTCATCATGCCTCTGCTTTTTTCTTCTCCCTCAGCCCCCAGATGACTGGATGGTGCCCACCCACATTGACGGTTGATCTTCCCCACTCAGTCCACTGACTCACATACCAATCTCCTCTGGAAACACTCTCACAGAACCACCTAAAAATAATGCTTTGCCAGTTCTCTAGGTATGCCTTAATTCAGACAAGTTGACACCTAAAATTAACCGTCACAATCAGTGCTCATCAAATATCTGCAGACTAGAGAAATGAAAAACCAAAGGGTAATAACCATATGTTACATTTCTCCATCAAAAAATGGTTATAAAGCCATTCAAGAAAGGTATTTTGAGTACTTACCGTGGGCTGAGGGATGTGCCTGGAAATAGAATTTCAATAGCAAAGAGTCTCGGTTTACCCTCATAAAGCTTTTTCAGCCTAGAAGCACAAACAGTTTTGTTTTTCTTTGTTTACTTCTTTCAATCTAGAAGAACAAACATTTTTGTTCAGTTTGGGCCAAAAGAAAAAAAACCACCAAAACTGTGAGTCTAAGGTGTTAAAGCACATATTTTCTGGGTACATGCTCTTTACAAAGATACTGAGGAGGGCTTGAAGATGCAGGTCATGTGGCCTTTCATGTGGAAGAGCCCAGTAGACCCCGGTAGGAGAGCAGCTGGGTTTCCATGAGGCCAAAATGCAAGACAGGGAAAACCAAGGGTCACAGTGGAAGTCCAGCAGGAAGCAGCAGGAAGCAGCTGCCAGAGAAATTCCAAGAGGCACATGTCTTAGGTCAATCATCACCCTCTTGTACAATATGAGAATCACGGAACAACTGTCATCCCCTCCTGGCTCCGACGCTGCTGTCATCTGGCTGTCCAGCTCCATCTTTTCCTTTTTTAGCCCGAATATTAAACATTTCTTAATTTTTATACATTCAAAATATCTACACTTGTCTAGACATTTTGTATTTCATTAAATTTCTTTTTATACCTCATATCTTCTTCTTGGGGTCAGTTTCCTTCTTCTTGAAATGTATCCACTAGAAGTTCCTCAGTGGGGATGTTTTGGTGGTAACGGGGTCAGGACTAGAGTGAGGCACCTAGGGGATAAAATTAAAGGAAATGTGTTGGCTTACGCTGCTAATAAAGGCATACCTGAAACTGGGTAATTTATAAAGGAAAGAGGTTTAATTGACTCATAGTTCCATATGGCTGGGGAGGCCTTACAATCATGGTGGAAGATGAAGAGCAAAGGCACATCTAACATGATGGCAGGCAAGAGAGAGCTTGTGCAGGGAAACTCCCCCTTATAAAAGCATCAGATCTCGTGAGAGTTATTCACTGTCACAATAACGGCAAGAGAAAGACCTGTCCCCATGATTCAATTACCTCCCACCGGGTCCCTCCCATGACACACGGCGATTGTGGGAGCTACATTTCAAGATGAGGTTTGGGCGGGGACACGGTCAAACCATATCAGTGTTAACTGTCATTCTCAGGCACTAACCCTCAACTTGACAACACTGACAGTGAGTTCCTCCTCAAATGTCATGTTCCGGGCACCTCACTTGCCTCACCTAGTTCCAGCCCTGGGTGGTAAGTGTAGGTATTTCACTCTTACTCTTGAAAGGCAGTTTCACTGGCTATACAAGGTTAACTTTCTTTTATGTATCCAAAGATATTATTCCACCATCTTCTGGTTTCCAAAGACGGCAAATAATATTTTTGTTGCTATTGAGAAATTTGTTCTCGGTATAACCTTTTCTTTTTCCTTTTGTTAGTAATCTGTCTCTTCTCTCAGGCTGCTTTAAGCCATTCTATCTGTCTTTGGTACTGAGGTCTAACTGCCACGCGTCTAAAAGTGGGTTCTTTTTAGTAGATCAGCTTAAAGGATTTATGAATTCAGATTTTTCCCCCCATTATTTGCAGAAAATGTTCAGCAGTGATCTCACTGAATGTCTTCTTTCCCCCAGTCTTGCCATGATCTCCTCTGGAACTTCAAAACCTATCTGTTCACTAGCCTTACTTTACCTTACACAGATGTTAATTTCCCTTTATGTATTTTTTATCTCTTTTTGTCTCTGTGATGGTTTCCGGGTAAACCCTTCAGATCTACCCTCCATTTCACAGTGATCTCTTCCGCTATGTCAATTCTGGTCTTAAACCTCTCCATTGTGATCTTAATTCCTATTATTATATTTTCATTTTCAAAATTTATACTTGCTTCTGGTCATTTTTGATAGTCTCTTGTAGCCTTACTCATGTTAACCGTGCCCTCTGTATATACTTATTGTATATTCTGGAACTGATAATTTCATTATTCAGAGTCATCATAGCTCTGTTCTGTTATGTGTTGTCTGGTCCCACTCTGGCTCAAAGGGCTTGTTATCTTGCATATTTTGTAATTATTTTAAACAGGGGACTCATACTTATTGGCACTCTCTTTCTGGGAGTTCCAAGCAATCGCATAGCATGTCCCTCCTGGGAGGACTGGTGTCTGTTTCTGCCAAGGTCCTAGGGGGCACTGAGGACCTGGGTGCACTCTAAATGAAACGTTCTCCCTTAGGTCTCTTGAATTACACCAATGATGTAATTTCTCTAAGGGTCAGCTTCTGGTAACAATATTTTAGGGGAAGCTTTAAAAAAGATAGTCCCTCTTGGAGCCAAGTATGAACTAGATGGATTTCCATGGTGTTCAGTCCCATGGGGCAGGTTTTCTTCTGGTTCACACATGATCTCATAGCGTGGCTTTACTGAGCCCAGTCTTCTAGCAGGAACATCTCAGTCCGGGCCCTGCCCTGCATGGAGCCTGGAAGCTATGGACCACATGGAGCAACAGGTGACCCCAAGTGAGCAGCAGCAGTGATGCTGTGCTCTGTTATTTGCCTGCTCTCCAGCTTCCACCCCATCCCTAGCCTTAGGAACTCTTTGCTACAGCAAAATGTTCAAGAGCTTTGAAACTGAGTTGGGGACATAACTAAGAGCTAATCTGTCAACTGTGCCTGTATTTCTGGTCCCAATTCATTTAGTCCATAAAAATTTATCAAGCACCTGTGATATACAGTTACATTTTCTAGACACAAATGAATCTATCAGTGAACAAACCTGAGAAAAAAATCCTTGTGCTTATAGAGCTTACTTTCTGAAAGGAGAAGAAAGACAAAATGAATGGAGAAATTACGTAGGAGGTTTTAGGGCAAGAAATATATTAGGAAAAAACTAGATAAGGATTTTGAGACTGCTGAGGGCACATATTTCAAAAGGTGCTTAAGAAAGACCTCATTGAGAAGATGCCATCTAAGCTAAAACCTGTGAGGCAATGGCCCATGTTAATGTCTTGGAAGAGAAAACAGCATGTGCAAAGGCCCCAAGGTGGGAGTGGGCTTGGCATCCTTGGGGCTGGAGTGGAGGAGTGAGGGAGTGTAGCTGGGGAGGTCAGAGGACACCAGAATGTGAAGCCTCTGTGGACCATGGCAAGAACTCGGGTTTTCCTCTGCATGAGACAAGAATCACTGGAGAGGTTGAGGCAAAACAGTGACACAGTATGACTTAGATTTAATGGAATTCCTCTGGCTGTTGGATTGGTAATAGATGAAAGTAGAGTAGAAACAGGGGGAGAGGTCAGGGGAAGCCAAGGTCTTGACTAGAGTTGATGGAGGCTCAAAGCTAGGTGGTATTTCTCAGTGGGACTCTGGTTCTGTTTGAGAAGAAGCACCAAGGGGAGGAGCTAAGAAATTGGTTGGGGGTATGAGAGAAAGAGCCAAGTCCAGTAGAACAGCTCTAGGGTTTTTGCCAGAACAGTGGAAGGAGGGAAAACTGTGGGAGGAACAGACTGGATGAGGAGAGGTCTGGGCTTAGCTTGTTGAGTTTGAGATATATAAGGACAGTTAAGTGGGCATGTCAAGGAAGCAGATGGATGGGCAGGTCTGGGGTCAGAAGACTGGCCTGGGCACAGGGAACATTTTAAAGTTATCTATGTCACGAGATCCAGTAGAGTTAGAGAGAAGAGGTCTAAGGTCTGAGTCCTGACCTCCCCACTCCACACCCACTTGCAACAAGAGCTTCAAGAGCCTAATGCAATAGTAGTACCTGGACATGGGTATAGTCTTCTTTTAAAACAATTCAAAGGTCTTTGCAACTACTATTTTGGCAGACACCACTGGAATAGTTTTTGTGTGGCCAATGATAAAAAGCTCCACAATCCAGTGCTAACTTATCTTCCCAGCCTTGTCCGACCCCCACCAACCAAGTTGATTTCTGTCTCGTTCTGATCAGGCCATTTCCACATGCTCCTCCTTCTCTTGGCACACTCGCTTTCCTCTCCTGAATGGGCTCTTCCCATTTCACTGATTGGCAAGTGATGCCTTGTTGAGAAGTGGATCACCAGGCACCTCCTGGATGTGCTGAACTGCAGGGGGCTGAAGGGATCAGGAGACAAACTCCACCTAGACTGGGACAAGAGTGGAAGATAGGTGTTACTGGCTTAAGTAACCAAACCACAGATAGGAAGGAGAAGGACCTGGCCAGGTGATGGATCATGTGGCCATCAACACTGACTAGGGGGTGGGCACTATGGGAAGATGAGTGTCCCATTCTCTGTGTGGCAAGAAGGAGACAGCCTTGGCAGAAAGGAAGCTAAGCAGGTCTCTCCAAACAGCCAAAGACTTTCCTGAGCCCCAGACAATTAAGTGGACATGTCCAGGAAGCAAATGGATGGGCAGGTCTGAGGTCAGAAGAGTGGCCTGGGTACAGGGACAAATTTTGAAGTTATCGATGCCACAAGATTGAGTAGAAACAGAGAGAAAAGGTCTAAAGTCTGAGTCTCACCTTTAAATACTGGGGCCATTTAGACTAGGGACAGTTCCTTCAAGTAGAACCAAATGTACTTCTCTGTCAACATAGCCAGCGCTGGGACCAAAGGTGGGCTGATCCCTGCAGAGGTAGGAATATCTATTAATATTATGGGACCAATCTTTGGTAACAATAATCAAAATATTATTTTAATTAGAGGTGGCTCTGTTCGTGGCTCTACAGCACTCTGTAGCATTAGGCGCCATGTGCTCCAATTCCTGGCTTACTTATCCACCTCCCCACCTAGACTGTGAGCTTCTTGTGGAGAAGGACTGCATCATGTTCCACAGCATGTGGACTAGTGCCCAGCAAGGAACACGTGCTCAGTATAAAGGTTTACAGAGAAACAACAGAAATAGATTCCTAGATAGAGAATATACGCTGGAGACATTCATAGTAGAGACACACAGATATCACCTCATTTTAACTTCCTCTCCCAAACACGTCAGTCAGAGGGATTCCAACATTAGGAGAAGTGCCTCACACTCGTGATGGCACTAAGACCAAGCTCCGAGAGACCCAGGTCACAGCTCCTACCTTTGCTTCTGCTTCAGCCCAAGTACTTGCACCCAAGCCATTTGCATTCACACAGCTGAAGCTGTGAGGCAGTCTAGCCTCTGAGCTTAAAGGTTAGCAGATGCCAGCCACCAAGTGGCCCCAGCCAGCCTTCAGCAGTGAGGTCCCGTTTATAGGAGGATTTTGGTCAGCCAGCCTTGGTGGAGCCCAGGCTGCCCTGGAGATTTGTCCTGTGTTAACCCCCGGTACATGTGGTGGGTTTTCACTGTGATTTCCAGGGGTACATTGTTTCTCATAAGAGAGGACTGACTGTGCACATGTGTGTATACGCTGTCAAACCTCTGACATATACACCTGCACACACACACCACACATACCACACACCATCTATCTGCGATCTCACAGAAGAGTCCCTGACTCTCCCTTGACTGCAGAGGAAAGGTGTCAAGGCTTCAGAAGCTCAGTCTGTCTCCATCCTAGTCTCCATGGAAACCCTGAAACCAGACAGGACTAGGCCAAGCTGAGTTATTTGTCTCCTAAATAAGGAGCTACATCAGAGACCAGCCCCTGGGGCTATGAGTTAATAAGACAAGAACTTTTTAAATAGACATACACAACACTTCTCCACCTTTAAATACTAGGGCCATGTAGACTAGGGACAGTTTCTTCACATAGAACCAAATGTACTTCTCTGTCAACACAGCCAGCGCTGGGACCAAATATGAGCTGATGCCTGCAGAGGTAGGACTATCTATTAATATTATAGGGCCACTCTTTGGTAATAAATAAAAATAAAATAATCATAGCTATGACTAGTTGAGCACTTCCTGTGTGCCAGGCATTGGGCAAAAGGCTCTACCTAAAATTATCCTCTGTAATCTACATAAAATATTAATCTTTCTTTCTGTAAATATCCCCAGATTCCCAAATCCACTCATTTCCTCCCTCTGCTGAGAGTTCCTTGTGGTCCAGATGTTCTGGGGCTGCTGCTTTGGGCTTCTCTGCCCTGCGCCCATTTGCCCTTCTTCTGGTAACTGCACTTTTACTTTCTTCTGGAAAGTTCTTCCCCACTCACTGGGTGGTATCGTTTGGGAGCCGACTCCATCCCTGCTCCACGGCTGGATGTATGGCCAAGGTCTGGATGACTGGCACCTTCGTTGGTCATGGTCATACTATTTCACAGCTGAACAGTTGGCCCAAGTCAATCCTGTGAAAAGCAACACCAGGATCTTTGTAGATAATATTTATAAATAGGCCTTGTGTTATACCAGAGCCAGTAAGCTAGTAGGGTGTAAGTTTGGAATTCCTAGGAACTTACTTAACTGTTGCTCTATAACAAGCTACCCCAAAACTTAGTGGCTTAAAGCAACAACTCCATTATTAACTTCCATGCCTTTGTGGCTTGGTTGGGATCAGCTGGGAAGTTCATCTGCTACATGTGATGAGGGTTGGGCTGCAGCCATGCTGGGGCTCTCCTGGGCTGGAGCATCCAGATGGCAGTTGATGCAGGCTGTTGGCTGGGAGCTCAGGTGGGGCTGCTGACAGGAGATTCTCTGTTCTCTATGCAGCCTCCCCATGTGGCTTAGGCTCCATAGTTTGGCCAATGAGTCCAAGACCAAGCATTCCAAAAGGTCAAGTCCCAGTGTGCAAGCAGTTACCATGCCTCTGCTTGTCAATTCAAGAGCATATATAAATACAATCATACAGTATGTAATTTTGGGATTGGCCTTTTCACTCACACAGTGACCTTGAGGTCCACCCAGGTTGCTGTGCGTATCAATAGTTCATTCCTTTTTATTACTGAGTAGTATTCTACGGTTTGGATGGACCACAATTTTGTTATCCATTCACTTCTTAATGAACATATTGGTTCTTTTCAGTTTGGGGATATTATAAACAAAATTTCTCTGAATATTCATTCCCATACACCTCTTTGTAGTAACATACCTTTCCATTTATCCTGGCTAAACACCCATGAGTAGAATTGCTGGATTATTTAGTAGGTTTATATTTAACTTGTCCACTGACCTCTCTTGAGATTTCCCCATTAAGGGAACTCTTGATACTTTTCTTCCCTTCCCCTTCCATTTTTTAACTTGTTAAAAAATGACCAAACTGTTTTCCAAAGTGGTGTGCCATTTCACATTCCCACCAGCAGGAGATGAAAAGTCTTGCTCCTCTACACCTCCCCAATACTTACTTGGTATGGTAAAGTTTAAAAAAAAATTATAGTCATTCTCATAGCTGTTTTGCAGCATCTCAGTTGGTTTTAATTTGTATTTTCCTAAGGATTAATGATGTTGATTATATTTTCATGGGCTTATTTGCCTTCCATATGGTACAGCTTGTTCAAATGTTTCCCCATTCTTTAATTGGGCTCTTTGTTTTCTTATTGTTGAATTTTGAGAGTTCTATGAATTTTTTAAAATATATATAAGCTGTATCCTTTGCAAAGATTTTCTCCCAGGAATAGATTATAGATGTAAATGTAAACCCTAAAACCATAAGACTTCTAGAAGAAAACAGAGGAGAAAATGTTTGGGACTTCAGGTTGGGTAAACACTGCTTAGCTGCAAAACCAAAGGCATGATTCATTAAACAACAAGTTGATAAACTGAACTTCATCAAAATTAAAAAGTGTTTTTCAGAGGACAATTTTAAGAAAACAGAAATTTGACACTATTTTTATTTCATTTTATAGATGAATATATTGAGTTGTATAAAGATTGAGAGATTTGCTTAACTTACCTAGGAAATGAGCCTCCAGGCTTGGGTCTGGGTCTGAATCATTCCAAATTACATGTTTTTAGTTATTTTCTGGTGTTTCTTGGAAATATACAAAGGCTTCCATTTCTTTAGAAAATGAGAGCAGCTCTGGAAGGTACTTCCCAGTAACTCAGAGAGGGCAAAACACTAGGAAAAGTTTCCAAAATCCAAAAAGAGAAGACACATTTTTAAGGGGTGAAAAAAAACACCACCCATACATACCACTTAAATACTCAGAAAAACTTCATCAATACACTCAATATTGTATCATCAGGGCGCCAGCTGTTTTCTCTGCTACTTGAGAGGCTGAGGCAGGGGGATTGCTTGAGGCTAGGAGTTTGAGTCCAGCCTGAGCAGCAGAGCAAGACCCTGTCTCTATTTTTCTAACCCTTAAAAATAATAACCCCTTCAGTCCCTTAGGAGGAAATGGTGAGGTCCACTTTAGAGAAATGGTTTCCAGCCAAGCCTTCCAAAGGGGTGTCTTCCTTATAGTCACCGAGGCCTCCTCCACTGTGTTTGCTGTGGAAAATGACCAAAGCTCTAAGCCTGGCTCATGAAGAATTGCCAGGAAAGACTTGGTTGGATAAAGTTAGCTGACTCCCTCTGGCACCCACAGCAAGGTCCCCTGGAGGAGGAATCCACCTCTCTGCCCCTCCCTGACTTTACTTCTAATTCCTCAGCACAAAGTTGGGTCTCATTGTGGGTGCAGAGTCCACTCTGAGGCTCCGAGGTTACCTTCTAGGGTTGGCCAGGTTGGCCCCTGGGGATGTGGGCCAGGATTAAGAAACAAATCTGAGTGCTCCCCACACAGTCCTCTCCACTCAGCTCCTGTACAGAAGAAACAAGGTTGAGATAAGTGCCAAAGGCGATTCTGAAAGGGGAAGGAGGGCACAGATGGGGTGTTTGGTGGAGGAAGCTGGTGGAAGGGGAAGGGAAGAAAAGTATCAAGAGTTCCCTTAACGGAGAAATCTCAAGAGAGGTCAGCGGACAAACCCAAGTGCAATAGGGGTAAAGTATGTGAGGAGCCACTGTTAATAAGTTCCTGCCTTTGTGTACATGGCATTTTCATCAGGATTACACCAGTCCTGGAGAACTTTCTGTAGATATACCTTTCTCAGAGAAGAATTCGCAGCAATTAAGAAGTGTTTTGCATGTCAGATATTTGATAAACATTATGATATTTAATCTTTTAACAACACTGAAATGTTGGTGTTATTATTCCCATTTAAAAGATGAAAGCACTTAAGCTCATAGAGGTTAGGATCTCAGGCTTAACGAAGTATAAAATCCAGACTCAAATTCAACCATTCCTCCGTACCTAAGGGATGTTTCTGCCCTGAAGCGTGACGAAAGTCACTGGTATAAATGGAAGGCTCCCAGGGCCATGCAGACACAGCCCTAATTCACACGGAAAGAAGACAGCCCTGAGTGAGTGGGAGCCCACAGAAGACAGGCTGACAGGACAGAGGATGCAATGGGGTGGCTGAGAGTGGGTGAGCCACTTCCACAGGAAAAGGGAAACAGGAATTTGGGAGCATATCATAGAGTGTCTAGGTCTCTGGTCATGCTGCCTGACACGAAGGGTGGGTGACTCGGAGCTTTCGCTCTGGGGCTCACTGCCTCAAGTGCTGCAAGCCAGCCTCAGGCATGAAGTGTTCTCTGGTGGTTCAGGAAGAGTCAGGCTCTCCTGCTTGGTGGAGTTAGGTCCATGTGCTCCTGGGAAGTCCAGTCCAGCATGCTGACACCTTGGATGTCCACTTCCCAGACTCCCTGGACTTGGCTCTTTGTTGAAAATAAACAAGCACCCAGACTATCATCTGTCACCAAAGACTGCCAGAATCTCAGGCTCCTGTAGGGACCAGCTGGCTCCAAATCAGAGATAACACCAGACCTCCCTGCCCTGGAATATCTGACTCCTGCGTTCCTGAACATGGCCAAGACATTTCCATAGGGATCACGAAAAGCTGTTTCTAGTGCCTAAACCTGAATCTTTGATCATATTCAGGGTCAGGCAATAAGAAGAGAAGTCATCACATGATCAGAGGAGGACAGAATGACCTACCTTGTCATTCATGCCTATGCTTTTATCCTTCACTAGATCCTCAAGAAAAGTCTTCCATCAGATCCTCCTGTGCCCCAACCCAGAACAAGAGTCATCTTGATATTGCAGAGTACAGTTTTACACAAATGTTCTTAATGAAAAAAGAAACCCCACTGCCTGAGTTTTGGTGGCAGAAGTGTGCTATTACATGTTCAAGGGCTTCTTCTCCTCTTCTCATTTTCTCAGACACAAACTGAGGAAGGACACTCAACCAGCAACGCAAAGGCTCATGAAGAGATTGATGGGATTTGGAAAACATAAGCAAATAATGTGCATCTGTGAGCTGAAGCCATAAGCATGATCAAAATCAAAGAAACATGTCAGCTGAGCTTGGTCCCTCGCATCCAGCCAGCAGTCCCCAAGTCCCGGCTGCCCATTCCCCTCAATGCGGCATTTCCTTTAAGGCCATGAAATGTCAAAGGGGGAATTGATTTTCCCCAGGTTATAAGGGGGCCAGCAGAGATAAAATAGGGTGGACTGTCTGCTGACAGGTGCTGCTCTTGTGTACCCAATATGGGGTCATTCAATTTTGGAGAGTGTAGTGAACTTAGGGGATCAGTTCAGAGATCCCCCCACATAACAGGGTATAGCATGGGGTGTATCCATCAGGGCAGGAGACAAATTCCCCTGTGGTACTAATAAAATTTTATGAATCAGACTCAAATACTTAGTGCTTAAAGGGAACACAGAAGCCCGGTTATGTAAGGTAGTTTTATCTAGATCACTTATAGTAACGTGATGCAGCAACGACCAGATCACGTTGTCCCTGCTCCCAGTCAAGTGTGCTGTCAGTGAAACACACACTCATTTGACTGCATGGTACCAGTGACACAGCAGTCAACAAGACAGCAAGAATCCCTGACTCCACAGAGCCGTGTGCTGCTTTTGCAGCCCAGCAATCACCTTTGTCTGGGAGCAACCCTCTGATGCTCCTTTGTAGAAGCACCCTCTTTCCCATTCTCCACCCATGTTCTTAGGATGGGTAACTTCCTTTCACCAGCCCTGAGGGATAGCACGTGACCCTGGCCTGGCCGCTTGGAAAATTGCAATCTCTGTGCTAAAGAAACTGGGTAAGAGATGGGTATACTATCCACATTTGGAGAATCCCCGGTCAACCCAAAGTCTTTCTTGGAATTACTGAAATGAAGTGGTTTCCTCTCTGGGTCTTTTTAGATGGTAGGATGAAAGTTTAATGCTGCTAAGACTTATCTCTAATGCTATGTTTTGAGAATTCGTTCAGTATGAAGCAACTTCTAAGGAAACCAGAGACAAGATGTAAATAGAGGTTTCCAATGACCTCATCTATGCCCAGATCCATCCATGCCTTGATGTCCGCATACCCCTTGAAGTTTCTGTTGCCTTAACCAATGAATTCCCTTGTATCTTAAGCCTGTTTCAGTTGCTTTTCTGTAGCTTCCAACTGAAAGAGCCCTAACCTCCATAATGAGAATGACCCAGGGTACTCCCCTTCAGATGGAGCCTCCTTCGGCAAAGTCAAGGAACAAGTCAAACCCCTCCCACCTGTGGTACCCAGTTTTCCACTTATACTTAGACCACCCCCAGCTTTAGTTCCCACCTCTCCATTCCCCCATAACCAGTGCTATTTCTCCTCCCACACTGGCCCTCACTGGAATCCTAACAGTTCAGGTCCTTCTACTTTGCCAGATGTCCCTGCCTCTGTCCCTTTCCCTTAGAATGATTTTTGGTGCCAGATACCACAACTCTGGGAAAGGCCTCCCTGCTACTCCCTTCCCAGACCTCAGGGGACCCCCTTCCCAACCAGCCCCACTGTCAGGAGAGGAAAGCCAGGTAGAAGCAACAGTCTCTTATGGAACCTTTCTGGGATAAAAAGGCAAAAAAAATTAAATTAAAAATTCCAATAAATGCACAATACAACTTTTCCTATTGTGAATTGGTAAACAGTGAGGGTTACCAAAAAAAAAGGGTAACATAAAACATTCTTTATTTGAATTGCTTTAAGATGAATGTGACTTGTTCTCCCAAGAGTTAATCTTTAAAAAGTGATCTTTGTAATCTAATCTCTTAGAGCTCGTCATTTCTTAAAATGACAGCATTTGGGGGACTAACTTAAGCTGTAACTGACTTAACATGCTTTAAAATCATTGTATCAAACAACAAAAGTTCAAATAAAGATGCCCTCCTTTTTTCAGACTTACTGATATGATTTTAGAGGCCTAGGTTATATGCATTAGCTCTTCTGGCAGTAGGGAGGAGAAAAGAAAAAATGAAAAGAGTTGCTTCTAATCAGAGGTCACAAGCCCATGTCTGCAAACTGAATCTGACCCTAGACGTTATTTTTATTCGAATTAGCGGCCAAGAACGACATCCCTACAAACTGCTCATTTCTGGCTTTACTGGAGGAGTCAGCAGAACTGGAATCCTGGGATACCTTTTGTGTTGTGCTCTTGTGCTCGGTAATTCTGGCATTTCTGGTAATTTTCTTCTGTTCCCACCAGGTACACTGTTCTGCTGCCCCTATCCATAGTCTCGTCCTGACTGACAGTAGTGGCACCTCCCCTCACAAAGCCATGGTGTGGCCTGGGCAACAATCAGTTGGCACAGACAGGTTCTCTGAGGAGTGACTGCAGCCTGGGTGCTGAGAGAGAAGGTGGCAGAGTGGAAAAGAGCTGTCCCGCCAGGCCCTCCTGCACCTCCGCTTCAATCTCTCTTGAGGGATTCCCAGCCTCCCTATGGAAACACAGCCAACCTAGAATCTGTCCTGGGACTCTGGATCCTCTGTTTTCTCCACCTCCACCCCTCCCCGCATGGGGCCGGTGCAGCTACACACTCATGCTTGAGAGGTCAGCCTGCTCTGGCTCCTTTAACCATAGCCCTTAAGGAAAAGGGTCCTGGGCTGGCCCCGATACCGCTTCACCTGAAGCAGGATTTTAGTTAGATCATGGGGATTGGGAAATCCTAATTCAAATCATTCTTGGCAATCTTAAGGGCTGGACGCGGTGGCTCACACCTGTAATCCCAGTACTTTGGGAGGCTGAGGTGGGCGGATCACAAGGTCAAGAGATGGAGACCATCCTGACCAACATGGTGAAACCCTGTCTCTACGAAAAATACAAAAATTAGTTAGGCGTGGTAGCGTGCACCTGTAGTCCCAGCTACTCAGGAGGCTGAGGCAGGAGAATTGCTTGAACCCAGGAGGTGGCGGCTGAAGTGAGCTGAGATGGTGGCCACTGCACTCCAGCCTGGTGACAGAGCAAGACTCTATCAAAAAAAAAAAAAAAAATTAAGAAAAGGAGGGTCCATGGCCCTTTGAAACAGCCCACAGTTGAAGATCTAATGGCTGCATTTCTGCACCATGCTAAGCAGTTCACCCGTTCTTGGCACCCCCATCTGCTGCCCCAGCTTGGAGGAATACAAAAAAAATACAAAAATTAGCTGGGCGTGGTGATGCACACCTATAATCCCAGCTACTCGGGAGACTGGGGCATGAGAATCACTTGCAGGAAAGCAAGATGGCACCTCCCTGTGTCAATAACTACTGTCTGGCCCAGTGAACCAGCAGGGCAGGCGGGTTACTTACCTTCCTTGTAGCACATGCGGAATTGCAGGAAGGGCTCTCCCTGACCTGGCCTCCCATTAAGGCCTGGTCCTCTGGGGACTTTGGGCTTCGGAGGGCAACTCTTCGTGGTGTGGAAGCTGGGAACAGGAAGTGCTGCTGACGGCAGGATGTCCTGAGGAAAAGCCTAACGTTGCTCTCGCCTACAATTAGTTTTCTTTTGCCTGATAAATGAAAAATACAAAACTCATGTCAGGAGTGAGAATATAAGTCAGCCTCTGGCATTTATGCTGAGTGGGATGATTGATACTCACCTAACTGTGTAATCCGATCCTGCTAAGTATTCAGTAGCTCGGTGCATCTCCAAGAGAACACAGAATTTCTTTGCAGGACACAGCTGCGGTCAACTGTGTTCTTCCCCACAGAAGGTACATTTTTGTTCCAGAAACATATTTGTTCCTTTGTTTAGGAAGCATTGCATGAGGCCAGGCATGGTGGCCCACGCCTGCAATGCCAGCATGTTGGGAAGCCAAGGCAGGCAGATCACTTGAGGTCAGGAGTTTGAGACCAGCCTGGACAACATGGTAAAACCCTGTCTCTACTAAAATACAAAAATTAGCTGGGCATGGTGGCACACGTCTGTAATCCCAGCTACTCAGGAGACTGAGACATGAGAATCACTTGAACCTGGGAGGCAGAGGTTGCAGTGAGCCGAGATAGTGCCATTGCACTCCAGCCTGGGCAACAAAGTGTGACTCAGTTTCAAAAAAAAAAAAAATTGCATGACATATGACATACAAGACATAGGCCAGGACTACAGAGGTTAACTAACCATATTCTCTGGTTGATCAGACCACACAGGGCAAACACACTGTACTGAGAGGCATCATTTGGAAAACTTGGTACGCCTTCAAATTCATTTTTAATGTATAGAAAAATACCATGCTTATCTCCAAGGAATATAACCAATTGATAGTACGGAAGCCTATGCTCCCCTTCTGAGCAAATGATGACTTATGTTCCTTTCCCATTGGTACAAAGAAGAAGTAGAGTGTTGGATTGCTAAGACTCTAAGAGTGGAAGAGAATCCTGCCTAAAAATGAGCTTTTAGAATGCAGTAATAGTGCTCTGGTTTGTTTGTCTAAAAGTCAATGGATTTCATCAGCTCAGCACAAAGAATTATTCCAAATATGGGAGAGATGGACAGGGAAGACGGGTGGCAGCCTGGCTGATTTCAAGGCCAGGAGTCATGGTCTGGGCCGCCATCCTGTCTGGTGCGGGGTGGAAAGGACCATGTTGGAAGCACTAGTGGCCACATCTAGTATTAACATTTTATCAGCAGTAACTAGAAGAGTTAGAAATTTTGGAGTTGAGACTCGACATCGCCACTAGAGCTGGTAGCTTGGAAACCCTTCGAGCAAGCCCTAGAAGGCCTGAAAGGGTCCCATCACTCTCCCCTACTGCTCTGTTCCAGACCTTTCCCACCTCTCCCCTGAACTGGTGCAGGAGCTTCCAAACAAATGGCTGCTCCTCTCCCCAGCCTTCCCCACTCCCAACTTCATCCTCCCTGCTGCTGCCAAAGCTTCCTCCCTAAAACATGAAACAAATGAACTGGAGAAAGACCAGTCATCCTTGGCTCTATAGCTGAACCACATATGTGTGCGTGTAGATGTGAATTTAACTAGGTGTTACGCATGAACACATGAACCATGGATCCCCACCTGGGCAGACCTTATAGAGATAGGGCATATTTTCTCCCCCAGGACATTTCATTCTCCTCCAGTGGCAGTCCTCCATCTCCTAATCCCACCATCCCCTGGCCCATCAGGAAGGCTAGAGGTTTACCCCAGCCTCATAGCTCCCTCCTGAAAGCCACTTTCTTTTTCTTTCTTTCTTTTTTTTTTTTTTTTTTTTTTTTTGAGACGGAGTTTCACTCTTGTTACCCAGGCTGGAGTGCAATGGCGCGATCTCGGCTCACCGCAACCTCTGCCTCCTGGGTTCAGGCAATTCTCCTGCCTCAGCCTCCTGAGTAGCTGGGATTACAGGCACGCGCCACCATGCCCAGCTAATTTTTTGTATTTTAGTAGAGACGGGGTTTCACCATGTTGACCAGAATGGTCTCGATTTCTTGACCTCGTGATCCACCCGCCTCGGCCTCCCAGAGTGCTAGGATTACAGGCGTGAGCCACCACGCCCAGCCTGAAAGCCACTTTCTTGGACAAAGATGCTTACATCCTGCACTTCTTCCTCCATGTGTCCTTGAATGA